CAATTTTTATGTTCAAATTGTTATTCATTCCTTACGTTTAAGATGTTTGAAATAGTTACTGATTATTACTAATACTTTCAGACCTTTTACTTTTTTTAAAAGAATAGAAAGGGATAATTAATAAAATTACATATTTTTAAAACACATAATTCGTGTAACTATTCAATTCTTTGAAATTTATTGATTGCAGTTGTAAATTATCAAATATTGCGCTTAATAAAATATATTGAATTTACTGAAACTGAAAAAAACGTAATTTATTTCAGATATTGTGAGCACTAGAGTATAAATATCGATTAAAGAGAACACAAATTAGAAAAGAAAGAAATCCTATACTGTACTTTATTGTAATATTGTTGATGAATGATAAGTACTTCAATCAGAAGGTTCTTCAAAAACATTCATTAATCTCTTTATTTCTTGCTTATCATGTAACTGAATTCCGACTCATTGATGAAGAAATTAAAAGCAAAGTCAACATATTTATATAGTTACAAATACCATAATATAACATACGTTGATCAGTGATCTATTGTATGACGAAGTCAACTCTTTGTCTAGTGGCTTCATATTTATTTTAAATTAACAGTATCGATGAAAAATTGATTTATGAAACAATGTATAAAAAATAAATCGGTAGATGAAGTTACCAAGTGAGTGTTTTTGCAAATTGTAGATTTTCAAACCTTTAATTTTTTTATATATTCTATTCCTCTTGTTTTATTTATAAATTTTCTTTCTAAGATAAGTTACATTTAGAGATTAATTTCGACAATAAAACAAAAACAATTAGAATCACTATAAACATTTTTAATTGCTATTGTTAACTTCAGGTATTTTTCAAACGTTGTTTACCGTTTTAAAAGCCTTCCTCTAATAATTTATTTCCAATTGCAGATTGAAAAGACAAGGCTGATTTGAAATATAACTATTCTTCGAACCGTAATCATTTTAGTCACGATATACTTACGATTAAGTTTCTTCAATATGCAAGAAGTTAATTGACAGTAATATTGCTAAAGTGCAGACAATCAAAGCACGAAACCGGATCGCGAAAAATTGTAAGAAATGACGTTCGTAGAAAAAACAATAAATTATGTTATATCGGGAATAGCAAGCAATCTTGATTAAAAAAACTCTATGATAGCGCTTGAAATAGCGTCACATAATAGGATCTCTAAGGTGTGGAAATAGGAGGTGTGTCTGTTGCATTTCGTAGAAACAATCTTGATTCAACAATGAATCATTTACTAAAAATTTATATAGGAATATATGAAAAAATTTATAATTTACAGAAATATAATTGTAACTAATTGTGATGATGACAAATTTATGAGAATGACCATTAATATGAAAACAACTTAAGAATTGAGCGTTATTTTTTTTATTAATATAAAATTGCATTGCAAACAATTTCTTATTATATTTTATTAAAATATGAAAGAAAATAATACAAAAATGAAAAGAAAACATTTGGAAGCGCCGGGTATCGATCCCGGTACCTCTCGCATGCTAAGCGAGCGCTCTACCATCTGAGCTACGCCCCCTGATGTTTTACTTGATCATTAAAGGCTTATTTCATCATCAGCTGCATGTTTTATTAACGAAACAATGTTGTTTACGAAGATAGTTGCATGTTATCTTATAAAAATTTTTTCAACATTCTTTTAGAGGATTTTAGAGGAATTGGATCATGTTTGTATGCAATACTGTGAACCATAAAAAATAGGGAGCTACGTTATCGACAGTTAATTAAAAAATTGAGTCTCATAATTAGATGTCTCCAAATATATTCCAATATGTTATTTCTTTAACTTAACTATCCATCAAAAAACGATGATCATGAAATTATTTTAAAGACATGATTAAAATTAATTAACAATTTCTATTTGAATTTCAAACAATGTTTCGAGTAATTTAAATTTTCTTATTTCCAAACACTTATAAGATTCAACGACTGTGAATTAAAACCATTTTATCCTATTAACATTAAAATTATTATTGAAATTATTGAAATTATTAAAATTATTAATTAAAATCTTTTAATCATTCATAGTTGTATTACTGAACTTACAAATTATAAAATCATATTCTTAACTTATAATACAAAATAATAATGACATTAGCAAAAACTTTCACTGTACATTACAATAATTTTTTATATAAAATTAAATGTAATATATCTAATAAAACTATTACGATTTTTTTAGTTTGTAGAACATTAATTTTTCATTATGTCATCACGACAATTTAATAGTTTTAATAATTTTCTTTTTTATTTATCTTTGCATATCGTGAAGTTCTTGCGATTATACATGCAAAAAAATTACCAGGGCTCGTCCGGGATTTGAACCCGGGACCTCTCGCACCCTAAGCGAGAATCATACCCCTAGACCAACGAGCCACATCAATTACGAATCGTAAAATAACAAAGCGACATTACCAACTGTCGATTTTGAGTCTGGCCAATCTAGTATATATATAACTGGATTCTAAAATTATTTTCCATATTAATTAAATTACATATACAAATTACCATCTCGTGAATGTTCTCTTCTAAACTTGCAGCGATGTAATTCTTGTTTATTATCAACAGTTTCATTTATAGTTAATATCGTTTATTATCAACTGTTAAATTTTTAAGTTGAGTTCATAGATAATCTATTGCTAAATGAAATTATAAACAAATATATAAATATTCATTATAATCACAAATATATGCTCAAAAGATAATTATAAAAAAGTAATTAAGTCCGATAATATAACAGTATGATTGCTGCTTCAGATATTCAAAGTTATATTCTCAGTTCAAATATTTAAAATTCATGTTACCTCAGTTTATATCTAAAATGATAAATTTGAGTACCATTTATCTCTAAATAATATTTTGATTATTCAGAAAAACAATTGTGGTAGAGTGGATGGGGCGAGGATGTAGGTATGTCCGGCTAATATGCTATCAAATATTCGTAAGGCGAACTTTCCGAACTAACATTGCGATTTCAAATACTTCTACAGAATCTGAGTGAATATGAACTTTGTTTGCTTAGCTGTCCTAATTATAATAATGAGAAGATATGAAATTAGGTAAGTAATAATCAAAACTGTGGCTATATTATTAATACATTTTTTGACAATTAATCATCAATGATACATTTGGAGATATTATATTTTCAATTAGTTGATGCTAATGATGAACTAGATTTCAATATTATCTTATTTGAATATTATGACATTCCATCCATTACATTTCTTTATTGCTTTTCACAGTGGATTTCAATTAAGAAATATAATTGATGTAATTGATTAGTTACTTTACATATAATATTTAATATTTTCTCAGCATAAACATATTCCGATATCAGATATAAAAAAATGACCTTCCTATCATAAATAGTTCTCAAGAAAAGTGTACTTTTAGTTGCATCGCCGATTTCGCACATTTTTCCCATGAATTTTTGATAACTACTTTAATCGTATATACTACATTACGATTCTAGTGCCTATTTTATGCTAAAAAAGTATCATTATTATTGTTATTGAAACAAAGATGTGAATAATGTTAAATACACGAATAGAAATTCATAACTTTTTTGATCAACTTCTCTCAAGAAAAAATTTACGAATTCTCCGGATACCTTGAATATTCCGGAATTATTAAACTTTAATTTTTTTTAACTCCACTTACATTTCAAAATTGAAATTAAGACTACTTTGTAACTGTTGTATTTTATGATTAACTAGATTGCCTGTAATTTTGTTGAAGGTAGATCGTTCATTGTGACATTTATCTGATGAAAAAGAAGGAATAAAGCTAATTTTATTGCTTTGTAAACGGATAATAAAATGTAAAGCGTTTCATGAAGTCATGAATTAAGTAAAATATGCTCTTAAAAGTCATTAAATATTAAAAATTGAAAGACGACTCTTTCATTTCTTGATATTGATTAATACATTCTTGATTTAACTTACTAGTTTATCTAGAGCACTTCACGCGCTCATCTGTTTATTTTTTATTTTGATAATATTTGTTGACATAAGCATACATAAATCGAAACTTTTAAGATAAGTTTCAAAAAATTCGAACACATATGATTTTAATTATATAATTTATAATTAATTTGGCTATACTATAGCCATTTATACAGACAGATAAATAAATGTTCGATCGAAATTTGTAATAAAATTGTTTTATTTCTTATATTTTAAATGTGCGATACCTTTAGTATTTGACCTCAAAATATTTCATTAAATTTTTTTTGTAATCTTATTAATTATAAAATTATTTCTGTGTCAAGTTTTTACATAATAGAAAAATTGAATTATTAACGAGGAAGAATGAACCAAAAAATTTACAAAATTGGATTAGTTACTAAGGATTTGGTTAGTTTACCTATAGTAAATAATAATACATACTAAAAGTAATAAAAAGAATAATCTATAGGTTTTGTATTTGCTTTTTCATTTTCAAAGATATTAGATATTCAAAAATTTTAAGGAAAATAAAAAAATGAATTACCTCATATCATATTTTGACGTTTTCTTTTTTATTTGAGCTATTATTAATCATAATACACTTCAATTTTCTAAGTTCCGCTTAATAAATGGATAGTATTGGTCGAATTCTGACATAATAAAATAAAATAATGTAAAAAATCACATAATGGATAACCCATTCTACATTATAATGTATTATTATTTACAATAATATTATGAATTACGACTCGAATAGAAATAATAAATACCATTATCGTTTCTAAAATCATTTTGTGTGATTTAACAACAAAAGAAACTATTTAAATAATACAATTTGATGGAAATGATATATTATTAACGACAATATCTAATGAACAAATTTAATTGATTATAGTGTAACATCAAAAATTTTTTAAAATAATATACGTTTGCTAATACAGCAATCTTTATCTTTCCATACATTAATGGAGGCTAGAGTATAAAAGAGACGAGGTTCGCGCTTCCGTAACCAGTAAAGTGATTGTCTCCACTCGTGAAAGACCTTCGTTAAAAATTCAAATAGTGTATTGTTATTGAAATTTTTTGAAATAATATACGTTTAGGCAACAGGTTTTGTGTTGAATTATTTTTCGTCGCATTGTTCCATATCAAAGGTATGAAAAATAAAAATATTTCACTTAAGATTCATTTTAGTCTAAAAAGCTATATGTGTTGATTAAATCTTAATAAATTTATGAATTGTTTTAAACTGTGCGATTAATAATATACATAGGGATATTATTGAATTAAAATAAAAAAAGGATTAAGAAAATTATGCAATGAAGTTTCTGAATAGTGGATACCTAAAGAAACGAGTAATAGTTAATAATAAGTAAAACACAACACTTGAGAAAAGCTTTGTGGTATAAAAATTTAATTTATTACAAAACAACTAAAAAAGTTTAGGTCATATTTTTTAATCTGTTCACTGTACGTTGGTAATTAATTATTTATTTACTTCGTCGCTTGCCCATTTATTCATTCTCATTTGTTTAAAACATATCTACATTAAAATATATAATTTATTTAAAGTAATTTTATTTAAAAAAATACAAGAACTTGCTTAATCGATTCTCGTTAGATTTTAGTTGTTTTATTATAAGAGAAAATGTGTCAAATAAGCCTCGGTATATGAAATATGTAAGACAGATTAGTTTCTATAAATAAAACTTTTCAAAAGTAATATAATAAGCTATTTTAGGATGGAATACTAAACCAGTGTTTATATTTTACGATGAATCTAATAGGTACAAAAATATTTAAAGTTAAATTATTTAACCGAAAAAAGTGATCCAAAAAAACGTTATACTAAAAACACAAAATAGTGTACATATTCTAAAAGAAAGTCTAGAACAAGAACCAAACAAGTGCGCATCTTCATTGAGATGCGACTAACATAATATTTTGTACAAATTATGGAGAAAGCAGGAGAAAGTTCATTCTAACTATACAACTGTAAACTCGTGTCTTTTTGTAGGTTCTCTGTCAGTTCATTGCTGGACGTTGAGCAATGAAAATCTCTGCCGACTCTATCATTATAATTTGATAGTATACGCAATTTTGTGATAAATTTTGCAAGACTTCGTATTTCGTAACTTACTCTAAAAGATGGACGATAAGGAATTTCGGGAGTTTGGAAAAGCTGCGATAGATTACATTGCTGATTATAACGAAAACTTACGCGAACGTGATGTGCTACCTAGTATTAAACCAGGATATCTTGGTGACCTTCTACCAAAACAAGCTCCTTTAAAACCGGAATCTTGGCGTCAAGTGTTGGAAGACGTTGAAAAACACATTATGCCTGGGGTAAGATTTAATTATTTTTAAAAAAAACGCACTGTAGATTTTTTAATCTTTTTTATTCAAACATTTACCTGTTATTTCGAACCTTTCAAAAAAGCTTTAACTCATTTTTCCAATACAAATAGTCACAAACAATAAATAAAAAATTAAATTTGTTTCCAAGGTCACCCACTGGAACTCACCACATTTCCATGCATATTACCCTACAGCAAATTCGTATCCCGCTATCGTAGGAGAACTCTTATGTGCGGGTATAGCTTGTATAGGATTTTCATGGATTTCATCACCTGCATGTACCGAATTGGAAATGGTAACAATGGATTGGTTGTGCAATCTACTTGGTTTACCTGATCAATTTTTGAACTCCAGCCCAGGACATGGCGGTGGCGTATTACAGGTACATTTGTCTAATGAGCACGTAGTAATTCACTTAAAATATTATATTTACATAATTTGTTCGCGACTATTTAAAACATTACCGTATAATTAATTTACAATTACAATAAGGCCATAATTCACAAGTGATTTCACGAACACAGTTAGTGATTTTTATCACAAAAGAAGATTAATTGCCGAGTATTTTGTGCGCTATCGATGTCTGAATTTTATAACTGTAAGCAGAAAATGTTCAATAGAGTCTATCTTACATCACAATGCATAATAATGACTAAAATGATTAAATAGTACTACTACAATATCCAAGGATAATGTTTTTTTGTTCGAAATCGAAATTCTGCATACTAGTCATTTGTGGATATTGCGTTTTTGTGCGAAGATCTTAATTATCAACGCAATTATTTGTTGCGTGTGGTTTACGTAGCATTAAAGTCAATTACAAGTATGGTTTCTAATTATAACTACATGTTCTGCTATTGTTAACATAGTTTTATAATCATCAAGAAACAGTGTACACCTTATTTTGAATCCTATTGGTGATTTTTTTAGGGATCGGCGAGCGAAGCAACTCTTGTAGGCTTACTGGCGTCTCGGGAAATAACTGTTAATCGTATCAAGAAAGAACATCCTGATTGGGATGAAAGTGTTATAAGATCAAAACTCATTGCTTATACTTCGGGTAAGTTCTTTTAAATTAAAAAAAGATGATTAAGAATTTTGTGATTCTTTTCAATTCTTGGTTCCACATTTTATTTATACTTGCATATTTTGTAATTTATGAAACAGTATCAGTAGTATCAGTATTACTCAACCAATAATTATATTTATATGTAGTTACATAAACTTATTGATCTTTCGACTTAAAATAAAAACTTTTCCTTTGCTGTATACGTGTCATTATTCGATATGCGTCAATATAATTTCAAATTCAATAAGAGACTATTACATTAACAAATATTGGTTTCAACAACTTTTTATCAATTTACTTATCTTTTCAATTAATATTCGTCGGTGCCATATTAAAATCTTGCCCTCAAGGCGAATAATATCATCAGTGAATCTCACTGTTTCTTTTATAACTTTCTAACGAATTATTTATCCTCTTAATTAATATTCACCGTTATCATCTGAACTTTTCCTTTACTTTTCATACAAATCTATAGCTGCAGTAAGTATATAGTATCATGAATTACATAATCGATATTGATGATTTCTTACATAGATATACCCAATTTTAGATCAGTCGAATTCGAGCGTTGAAAAAAGCGGGCGTCTTGGCGCTATGCCAATGAGACTTTTACCAACAGACGAAAAATGCCGTTTAAGAGGCGCCACACTTTTAGAATACATAAAGAAGGATATGGAAGATGGCCTCATTCCATGTTACGTCGTTGCTACCTTGGGAACTACTCCAACTTGTGCCTTCGACGATCTTGATGAGCTTGGACCGATATGCAACAAATACAATATTTGGCTCCACGTAGATGCAGCATATGCTGGTACATTTCAAATTGGAAAACAATATTTTTACTTTGTTAAAAAAAATCATAATTTATCATAATTTAATATCACTTTTAAGGTGCAGCTTTTGTTTGTCCAGAATATCGCCATCTTATGTCAGGCGTGCAATATGCTGACTCTTTTAATTTTAATCCGCATAAATGGCTTCTAGTAAATTTTGATTGTTCAGCCATGTGGTATGTTAGAACATGTGTAGTTTCAATTTTATGCAATATAGTTGGGTCTGAAAACTTGATTGTTTATTTTATAATATAATATGATTTATATTTTGCAGGGTAAAAGATTCTCGCTATTTGACGGAAGCATTCAATGTGGAACGTATATATCTCGCTAATAATAAGCTAGGTGCTGCTCCAGATTATAGGGTAACTAGAATTAATTAAATATATTTTTTAAACTGCAAAACGTTTTTTATCTCTAAATAATTTCCATTCAATTTTTCATTCAGCACTGGCAAATACCACTTGGTAGACGTTTCCGGGCTTTAAAACTTTGGTTTGTACTGAGATTATATGGAGTAGAAGGTCTACAAAACCACATAAGACGAACTATAAAATTAGCTAAACAATTTGAAGAATATGTGAAAAATGATGATAGATTCGAAATACCTGTAGAAGTAGCAATGGGGCTGATCTGTTTCAGATTGAAGGTAATAACAGCTCCATTATTGAAAACTACGAATTAAGAAAATCATGCAACTAATCAACTGAAATAAACATAAAAAAAACTTCTAGGGTGAAGACGATCTTTCGCAAAAGCTTTTAGATAAACTTATGGCAAGACGGAAAATTTACGTAATTCCTGGAGGGTATCGCGATAAATTTGTTATACGCTTTGTAGTTTGCAGTCGTTTTACAATACAAGAAGACATAGAATTCGCTTGGAATGAAATAAGTAGTCAAGCCTCTGAAGTTTTACAGAATAATACACAAGTTAAAGCTTTGAACGGCGATTGTGATATTTCTACAAAGGAAGTTACAGGAGAAATAGCATCAAGAGTGAAAAATTTGGAAATAGAAAACAAGAAGTTTCATTCGACATTTATGATCAAATGATATTTATTTCGGCTACTGCGAGATTTTCGATCTCTTCCTTCCTGAATGTAAATTCTAACTAATTCTAAGTGCATATTACTGCTAAGTACCTTTTGTCTTATATACAGATAAATTGCACGTATCGTAAATGCTTAATAAGATTGTATTTGTTAAATGTTTATACCTTTTTCGTTATAAATAATTGTTTTTCGCAGCCAGTGAATAAAAAAAGGTCCTATCACAGATATTGGTCAATTCACTTTTAGTACCTAACATTCTAATATTTGATATCACGAAAACTTACGACTGATTATCACTTGAAAGAAATACTTATTCAAGATAACACGTATGTATCTATTGAGCGTTAATTGAAACTTGCTATGTAACGGAACAGATGGCGCTCTATGCTGGAAGCGCGAAGAAATTTTTGTACATATAAATTTATTAATTCACTAACTTGACCAACTTTTTGAAGCTGGGAATTAACAATAGACAAGCGTGTGGTTTGCACGAACTGTTTTGCTTGAAATGTCACGTTAGACAAGCTTTATAACAAAATTTATCAATGTGTGCTAATAAATCCATAATCATACGAAAAATTAATTAAGTTATCTTTATTAACATATATGAGATGTTCCTTGCGAGACCTCGACCTTCTATTTCGGCAATTAGATGTAGCTTGCAAAGGTTAGTACGCTTATTATATAGTCGCGCGTAATTGTATTTCCAACTTTGCCAAGCAGCACATTGCACAAAATTGATATTCTACAATCTAAACTTTGACATATAAAATAACTCTTAAAGTATACGACAGTTTTCCATTGTACACGAAAACTGTTGAGTTCATAAAAGTAGATTAGTTTCTGTATATGTTATAACCTCTTAGATGGCTCGCATCGTCGGCATCTTCCGGAAGCGGCGGAAAAGACATTGCGCCGTGTGCGAAAATTGCAAAATTCGACTCATGCCAGCTGGATCCTTGCATGCTAGACCCATGCAATCCAGAGCCGACTGTCGTGATTATTGGCGCGGGAATGGCTGGTCTTTCCGCGGCGCATCGACTGGCGCAATGCGGCCTCAAAAATTTTACAGTTCTCGAAGCCACAGACCGGTTCGTTCAGCGTCTTCTTTTTATTTACATCCGTTAATTTTCTACTGCTCACGTTTCATCATAAAGCATCGTCAATTTTTTGGAATCGAATTGCTCGTTGAATCATTAACTTGCATTACAATCGCATGGATTTTCATCGACACGATGAAAAATAAACAATACTCAGACCAGGCGGACGAATCCATTCGTGTTGGCTCGGCGATGTCGTGGCCGAAATGGGCGCAACGTACATCGAAGGTGGCTCAGTAACAAACGCCGCATTCACTTTGGCGGCCCAAGAGGGCTTGCTAAAGCCACCACTGTACAGGCCAGATCCGAGCAAAGGTCTGTTTTGTACGAGCGAAGGACGGGCTATCGACCTGCCCGTCAGCATCACGGCTTACCACACCTTTCGACAAATTGAACAGCAAGCGGCTGCGCTTTTCGCTTTGGGGTGCGGTCGGAATCATGGCAACTTGTTAAACTTCATGGGACTGAGAATACAGCAAGAGCTTCACAATTTTCCGGAGGAACAAAGGTTATTCGCTTTTAACCCATGATATCGCAGCATACCGAATTCCTTTCATTACTGTCGATTAGTGATAAACTCAAAATAAAAATACAGAAGCCCTAAGTCTAATGAAAGAAACGATTTCCTTTGATCACCATAAAAAAAATATTCCATAGTCAATTGTGTGACTGATGAAGCTCGAGACATGTGGAAAGTTACTAAATATAAGAAGATTTACGATGCTCATTTTCTCTTGAGCCATTTACACGTATCATTGACAGCCGCATATGCTTGGAAATTCATATTTAAATATTATTTTAACATTGAAATGTGGTTTTATAAAAAGACTTTCGTATCGAATAATGAGCTAGATAAACGTAGTAACAAGTAGTGTATTTGTCTGGGTGGTACGTGTATATATAGATACGACGCGGCGCGAGTGATGTACGGCCTGACAAATTGCGTTCGTTGCCGTTGCGGTGACGACTTGTCGCTGGTATCGGCCGATCAATTCGGTAGCTATGTGGAGATCCCAGGGGGTAACGTGAGAGTACCACTGGGCTACGTCGGCATGCTAGCACCACTTTTACGGGAGCTGCCGAGCTGCTCGCTCAAGTATTGCAAGCCGGTGAGCTGCGTCCGATGGGGCGCTGTCAGCGAATCGTGTCCGCGCGCCTTGGTCAAATGTTGCGACGGCGAGGAGCTACTCGCCGATTACGTTATCGTCACCGTCTCGCTCGGCGTGCTCAAACATCAGCACGACAAGCTGTTCTGTCCCGCGCTGCCTGCCGAGAAAGTCGAGGCGATCGCTAAGTTGGGCTACGGATGCGTCAATAAGATCTTTTTGGAATACGAGAGGCCTTTCTGGGTGTGGCACGAGGGTGGTATCAGGCTTGCCTGGTCTGCCGACGAACTCGCCGATCGATGCGACTGGGTCAAAGGTGCGTCATTTGTTCAGCAGGACTGTAGGCTGTCGATCACTTTGCTATGATATCGGTAATATTTGTCAACGCGTCGTGCAGGCGTATCGATGGTCGAGGAATTGATAGGCTCGCAGCACGTGCTATGCGCATGGGTCGCCGGTAGGGAAGCAGCGGATATGGAGCTTTGCTCGGACGAGGAAGTCGTTGATTCGATGACACGGCTCTTACGTCAATTTACCGGTGACCCCACACTGCCATACCCCAGTAACTTGCTGCGAAGCAAGTGGTGCATGGATCAGAATTTCGCTGGATCTTACAGCTACATGGCTATGGATAGCACTGTTGGACATCAGTGTGATTTGGCCAGTCCTTTACCTGGTAATACTTTCTTTCCTTTTGTTCCGTAGTCTACGTCAATCCATACAACGTTATTTTCTAACAAATAACTTGAACAATGTTTTTCGTTAAGTCGCCAGCCAATACTTCTTTTCTTTCTATTACGTAGGTTCTTGCGAGCCTGTAGCGCCGATCTTATTTTTCGCCGGTGAAGCGACTATACCTGGCCACTATAGTACGGTTCACGGGGCAAGATTGAGCGGAATACGCGAAGCAGATCGAATAATTCAGCTGACGAAACGTTTCAATGGACCACCCAAAAAACTGCCACAGCTCAATCCTGCATGTCCATGATTGGTAATCGAAAACTATTGTATAAAACTTTTTCTGATTGTCTCGTGTAATCTACAAGCTATTTAGATGTAATAATGCGTAAAAGAACCCATCTTTTTCTATCTTCTTTGTCGATTACGGAAAAGAAGAAAACGTCTCTTGTTGCGAGGATCTAACTTTCAAATTCAATTGATATCGTGTACATATTCATTATAATAATACAATGCATACATTGACAAATCCGTGAAGTATGATTATACAGTTTTTCAAACTTTATTCGTTTGCTCTAAAATTAATAAACTAATGGAGTTTTAAACGCAAGACGGAACGACGCCGCTAACCATCTCAACTCTTTCAATACACTCTATACTTGGTCACTTTTGATAACTTATGAGTTATATACACAATATTGTATGCTATAAATTAAAACGACGAGAAAGAACATTTCTAGAACATTTCGTCTTTTTCTACGTTTACAATGTTCACTACTTTACAAATGTTACACAAAAATATTATTTCTTTTTTTGAGTTACACAATGTAGTAGATATAATGTCATACAATTTTAACATTGCCATACGAAAATTACGATCTTTTCAAACAAACTTTACATACTTAATTATGATTATGAGATCCAAGAGCAATAAAATGAGTATTTGATTTTGTAAGAAAATACAATATTCCGTGATTGCAACGATCACTTTTTATTATGAACGAAGGAAATTCTGCTTTAACAGAGATAAATTTTCTATACTTTCCCGGTTGGTCCCGATAATACTATTTAGATCGCACACACATAAACATTTCCCGCAATCAACAACCAGCTTGTTTTCCGAATACAAGATATATACGAAAACTCTAAATCTATTATTGTCCCAGCTGCAGCACGTGTAGGTGTGTACAAGATACTCCTTTCTTGCTCACCTATATATTTATATAATAACAAAGACGAATATTTTTTAATAAGCTTAATAAACTCAGCGGTTTTTTTTTCAAAACAATAAGCGTGGGACATGAATACTTGATCAGCATCTTAAGATAACTTGTTTTTACAATGCTAAGGAAGCTACACGACGTTAAGAATATTCAAGCGAAGAAAACAAAGAATATTTTTCGAATGTAGTCGTAGGCATGGTCATGCTCGTTCTCGATAAACACTAATTCAATTACATATTGTTCATACATTAATCTTAACTACGACAACGTTTGCTTAGGTGTGTAGCTCAACAAGTGCTTCCTTTGTACATTTACAATTCGTGAACGGTATTCATATATACGACTATATTTATGAGTCGATTGTGTGTATTGCTGTTCGAATGAAAAGAACAAGATGAAAGATCATTTCCGATATATATGCTCTTATTCATATTTTTTTATTTCAATATTTCAAGACTTCGTATACTTGTTCGTTGTACTTTACAATAAAAGGAACTTGAGCAAATACTAATACATCGCGATCATTGAATACTGAACACTTGAAAAACTACACTTTTCTGAAAGTTACAGCATTTTTCTTCGAGCACATTGAACGAACACGTGTAACGAGGGGCTCCAAAAGCTGAGTTTTTCAACGCACACACATATATCATTGTATAGATTTTGGATAGATATTAAGCATTGAGTATCTCACGTAAGAGAGAAAGAGAGACAGGCGGGGAAGATTGCTTTAGGACTGATTGCAGGTGACGGGTGGCGAAAGCGCCCGATAGCTACGCGTTATGCGGGCGCGCCATCACTTGGAGAGCGATTGTTCCTCGAGTATTTCGTCGGCGCGTAATTTGATCTCGCGCCACGAATAGTGCATGTCCTTGCTCTCGGTGAAGCGCGAGCAAACCGCCAGACGCAGGAAAAAGTTGTCCTTGATCTTCGACGGCACCAGATGAATGTTACCCGCGCCGTTTATCCGCTTTAGTAACAGTTCGTTCAGTTCGTTTGAGCCCTGTTAAAAAATGAAGAAAAGTTTTCACCATTCGTCAGGGCGAAAGCGTTAAATTTAAAATGAAATAGAAACAAGAAAGGAACAAGAGAGAAAGCTAACCGTTGCGAAATGACCGTACCTTCAATCTGAAGCAGACGAGGCCAAGGATGACTTCCTCGACAATTTCAAATCGAGGGTCCGACAACAGAAGCGATTCAAATTCGTGAGCCAGAGCCACGTGGGTCCTTATATACTTTTGCAGATTCTCCACGCCGTACAATCGCAATACGAACCATAACTTTAGGGCTCTGAAGCGTCTTCCAAGCGGAATTTGCCAATGCTGCAATAGCCATTTGTTTCGTCAAACAAGCTACGGACTATTGTCGTACTTATGAAATAAACGTACTCGGTAATCAGGTGCGCTTCCTTGCATGTCGTGCTTCAGATACAGTGGGTCCACGTTAAATGCATTTATCACGTACGTTGGATCTTTCAACCACAGAGGTGAGCAATCAAAGTTGACTAGAAGCCACTTGTGTGGATTGAAGTTGAACGAGTCAGCTTTTTCAGTGCCTTTCATCAGGTAACGGAATTCAGGGCAAATGAATGCAGATCCTGAAATGCAAATGAATGGGCATAAAGGAAAAACAAGACAAGGACAAATAAAAATAAATTACCAACCAGCATAAGCTGCATCGACGTGCAACCAGATTTCCTCGCTCTGGCAAACAGGTCCCATTTCATCGAGGCGATCGAAGGTACAAGAGCTAGTAGTGCCTAAGGTCGCGACGACCTCCAAGTAAAAAAGCAACATCATTTAATTGCAGTGTGCAATCAATGTAGCGTATAATATGACACAAGTTAACAAGGTTATTACATAGAAGGGGATGAGTCCCTTCTCCTTGTCTTCCCTTATTGCCTCGGCGAGAGTTTCTCCACGAAGTTGATGCTTTGAATCAGTTTCAAGAAGTCGGAATTGAACGCCTCCCAAAAGACTTGCTCGCTCTACGGAACTGTGAGCCTGGGCTGCAAAATTCAATTATTTCGCGTGATTATTATATTATCGCTACGAGTTTTTCTCTCGAGTAATCTATTACGAAATACATCAGTGTGTATATATTGTGTGTGTGTGTGTGTGTTTGTGTGTGTGTGTGTGTGTTTGTGTGTGTGTGTTTGTGTGGGAAGTTGATGGAACTTGCTTCAAAGCTCATATTAATTTCTGTTTATTAGTCATAAAGGACATAGCACTACAGTTCATTTATAGATGTCAAAGGGAAAAGCTTTCAAGGCAGCATTGAGGATAAAAAGTGTGCGAGAGAGAGAGAGAGAGAGAGAGAGAGAGTGAGCGAGAAAGAAAAGAAAGAATTAACGAACAAAAGCCAAAGTAGTTGGCATTCATCAGGCGTAATATCAGCATAGATGAAAGATCGACTGTGGGCGTGAGAGAGACGCGTCAAGTTTCCGAGCGCGTATGCTTGTTGGAATCAGCCGACGACGATGGTGGTGTCAGTGCATGAGACATATATAGTAGGTACAGCGAGGACGGGCCGCATAAACTTTTCCGATTCATTGTGCAAACGTGAAAGCTTTAGTCGCGTACGAAGGGGGAGTGCAGCAGCAGGTTCTCTTGGACGGTGTGCGCACGAGTCAAGCTCTCGTAGTAACTCGAGTGGTTATTACGCGTTGCCATGACGATAAAGTGCTGCTTGATGAAGTGCTTCAACGTCACCCTGCCGTTCTCTCTCTCTCTCTCTCTCTCTCTCTCTCTCTCTCTCTCTCTCTGCGATTCCCCTCCTCCATACTCCCGCTTCGCTTGGTATTTTCTCCCTTTACCTTTTTCCGAGCCACTGGTCGCTTAACTTTTGACCCCATACCAGCTTTTTTCTATCCTCTCATTACTTTTTTTGTCATTCAATTTTGATTGATTGGGCGAATATTGGTGTGTTAAAAATGATAGAATTGAATATGGAATAGACAAGGATGGTGAGTCTCTACACGAGATTGATTGTAACAGGTGGCTGCCGAATGCAAGTTATTTTACAAGAAATTTCTTTTTTATCAGTTTTTTAAAAATATACTTTTATAAAGATTTTTAATATACTATTTCAATAATCGTGCTATAAATTACCTGAGCAATAACCGATAAGTTTGCCGACTATTTGGAATTCTGTCCATTCAGGATGCTGTTCTTTTATCTGTTTAATTTTTCTTACTTTAGCGCCTAAGAGAGCCACCAATGTCGCTTCACTGGCTGTTCCCTGAATACGAATAAAATGTAAGTTAAGTAGCTATATCTAAACATAAATTTACGACAATTTGACTCTCACCTGTATGACGCCGCCACCTTTGCCACCACTGCAAGCTAAAAATTCTTTTGGTAAATCCAACATTTTTCCCAACCAGTCAAGCATTATAACTTCAAGCTCTGTACAGGCTGGGCTTGCAATCTAAGACGCATAATTACATTAAAATTACATCGATTATGTTACGTCAATTAAAATGCACATCTTCAATCGAATTACCCAGGTGAATCCTATGCAAGCAATAGCTCCACTTAACATATCGGCAACAATCGCAGGATAAGATTGGGCTGTAGGGAAATACGCATGGAATTTCGGACTATGCCAGTGAGTTACACCAGGCATAATTACTCTTTCGAGGTCACCCATGATGTCTTGCCAGTTTTCTGGATGCTGAGGTGCCTCGTCAGGGAGTAGAGGTTTCATGTAGCCTGGCTCTACTATCGGCAATACTCTCCTGAAATGCCGATAGAATTGCATCTATCAATGCGTACGTTGTCGTAAGAGTTTGAATCGAAGCTTTTTTAAGCGATTTCCTTTTGCTATTTTTTTGCACTCAATAAAAGTGAGCGCGAACGATGTACGATTGTAAAATGGTAATTGCAAACGTTTCTTTATTGACGTACAAAAATATTGTAGGTTTTATTTATTATTATTTTTTACTTTGTAGTTACCTTTTATTGCACACCTTTTGATAGAAAAAAATCAATCGAATACTTAATAAACAGCCTATTTGAAGATTTTGTATCATACTTAAGACGCGTTTGAATAAGTTTTTTGTTACTTTATTCGTATTATGAAACAACGAATCAAATGTAGTGACGCTTCGTAATAACAGTTTTTAACATTTTTCAAACGCTTGATAATAAATAATGTCTATCCGTGAAAAGAACTCCTATTTCTCGTATTTTGAAGAAAAAAGAAGCACGGATATATGTCAGAGACAGCAAGCCATTCACTTCGTTGTCCGATCGACAAATAAATTCAAACACAAGTTTTATTGCTCGATCAGCTATGACAGGTATGTTACGCGTGTATTTTTGATATGAATTATACGTATTGCCAAGGTTGGTTTTCCTTTCGCTGCGTGAACGTTTCACCTTCAAAACTCAGGTGTGACGCTATATGACACCCATAAGATTGCGCGGGTCTCTCGTCCGGTAGCCAATTTACTAGCTAGTCATACGAATGTGCGTATAGTATATTACAAACTAAACCTCGATCCAAAAATGCTTAACGGTATTGACAGATACGTTTAACAGATCCAGAAATTTTTGAAAATTTTACTTACCTTTCTCTTATGTTCTCCAAATAATTTACTATATACTCGGTCATTTCTTTGGAGAAATCTTTAAACGCAATCGGATCCATTCTGGCTGAAAAGTAGAAAAATATTTTGATTGACTAAAAGTGATTTCCTTTATAAAAGTTACATCACGCCTATGGTTAAATATATAAATTATATTAATGTTATACAAGATTATTCTCGATACTTATACTTGGATTCAAGGTTTTCGCGTAATACACTATAAAATAATGAGCTAGAGCTTTAATAGAAAGAGTATATATAATCGCAAAACATTTTTTAATATTTATGTGTTAATATGCACTGATGGATGAACCGAGGTGTAAAATTACATGATGTGCATCTATCTTATAATTCTACAATGTTTACTTTCTACTTTGTAATTTGAAAACAAATGAAGGCCAATTGATAATCTGAATGCAGATGAAAAGAGTGTATTTGTTGCGTCGGAAGGAGCCGATAATGAGCGATAATTGAGCACATTGAAATGTTCGATCGCATTACCATTCTGCAGGTCTAAATTGAAGAAGACTTCGTTGTCAGTAGTTAACTGACAAATCTTGTGTAAAGACTCTTATCGTTAGATGACATGCGTAATTTGAACTATCTGTGACAGGCTCAGTTTCTCAAGCGATGCAAGCGAGTTTCGCGATCGTGCATGGAAAAAGGAAAATGTGCATCCAGAAAGCGGAGACAGATAGCTACGGCAACCTAAAGTTGCGTTGGCGCTCTGCTGCGAAAGAAGACGAAATAGCGTTTACGTACATATCCTTCTCGTGTCAAGACAGTGTTGAGAACTCGCGCGCGATTCTTAACTATGACCATGACTTATTTTTCAGAACGACGACTCCTTTTCTTTTTTAACGCCAACGAGCATACGCAGCGCTTATTAGATTATTTTCCATTTATGGATGCTGTGCCTATACGGTTAATAGTCTTATAGACTTATAGAGCGAATGCGTCATGATGGAAAACTTATTGCATTTTATCGTGGGAATAAACGAATGAAAACAGCAAAATTCATCGTTCCAACAGATATTTTTTACTAACCAATGATATTTGTATCGATCCTCTAACAACATTTAAAAAAATTGAATTTTTTATTGTACATGAAATGTTCAAATCAGTTGTAATTTTTTAATATCTGGCTTAAATTAATAGTAAATAAGAAAGCAATTGCATAGTTGATGTGATTCCATGTTATAGTCAACTTAAATAATAACATTTTCAAATTTGTTCAATATACATTTAGAGAAATATCACATTTTCATGAACTAGTCTGCAGTCTATGATTGCTTCAATATTAGTTTTTTACTGAGATTTTATGCAACTTTAACTAAATATTTAATTTTGAATTGCATATTGAAACTCTTCCTGCATTCAATTCTTAATCATATACATATGTCAATATTCATAGACATGAATAGGTATTTATTAGTTTTGAAAGGATCAGTTTTAGAAACTTCAAATATTGTAAAGCTCCCAAATGGATTCTTCTTTTCCATATACGAATAAGAAAAGACTTCTACACGTGCGTATTCAATTCCAAATCTTATCAAAGGGGCTTTGATCAAATAAAAACTGGTGCTGAATGACCTGCGGAAAATCCGTGCGCCCAGAGAATAGAGTTCATTGACGCGAAATTAGATTTCAACTGAAATCCGCGACGACTTATTTTTTCTTATGTATAAAGATATAGACGCGTTCAATGAAAGGACGGTATTTCCCGAATGCTTTTCTCGTATAACAGGTTACTTATTATAGTACACTCCACAGGTGGTGTCGAGCGTCATCTTGGTTTCCATGACGCGGAGTTGTGCATGACTAATTTGTTTTTTCTTTTAATTTCCTGTTGCGATCAAAATGTGTCAGATATTTCTTGCATTGACCATATTTATGATAATTATTTGTTTTAATTAGTTATTCATTTGAAATGGGTTTCTTGTAAAAGTAGGACGACTGTATGAGTGGAGCCAAACGAAAAAGAAAAAAGAATTCACTACCTTGAAATTGCAATCAACTATATAAATAAATAAATTAATATCCATTATTATAAGAGACTTATAAATATTTGCATAAGTGTAGAAATTGCAATACTTATATGCTGCTCCGATTCAATAAAGAAACTATAGAAAAATGTATGTTCAACAAACCACAAATCAACGATTGTGTATAAAAATGGAATGTTTAACTTTCAGCTGAAGTATTTAATGAGGAATTTGTTCTAAGAATGCGTGCTGAGTGCTAGATAAATAAGTCATACTGTAAGCGGAATTAAATAATTGTATGGTTTCACTACACATCAAGTGATCGATGCAGTGTCATCAAGTCATGAGGTAAATGTCGAGAGACGCCGGTATTCGGCGATACATTAATCGAAACTGATTAGCCATGAGTGTTGCCACTCGACATTTACGCGCGCGTCAATTGAGCGCAGTTTGTTATAGCCAGTTCTATGCAATTGTCAAGTCGATGTGTAAATACTACGCTAGAAGTAAAAGAAGTGTGGGAGCTGCCGTCGTTTAACATGTTTTTTTCTTTTCGCTCCACTTTCACGAATGTTGCACGAATCGATCAAGGCTAGGGCGTTTACTCGTTACTATTCTGCCGACAGGTAATACCTTTTTATACAGCTGGTTAAGTATTTTTTAGTGTGCTTTACTAAATAATAATACATGTATATTATGCAAGTATCCACAACGTGGAAGTGATTAACTATTTAAATATGTGGTAATAGAGACTGCTTTTTTTATAAGGATAATATTCGTTTGACTATGCACTGAGTTATGCCGATTATGATAAATGCAGTTTCAATTTTATACGACGACATGCTATTTAATTAGAACACAACCAAGTTGCGAAAACAATTTATATGATTTTTCCCTCGCAAATGCTACATATTCTAGCGAAATAAACTATAAATTAAATTTTACAAATTTACTTAACAACACATTGTTTTCGTCCCGTTTTTTTTCGAAAACAAATAATTTGCAGTAAAATAACAATTATTATTAAATCTAGAAAGTATATTGAGAAAGGAAATAAATTTACTTACCGGCCAATTCGTAGACAGCGTTTTCCGAGCCTAATAACACTGAGCACAGGCGCAAGTAAACTGAAACCAAGTACGAAAACCAAGACTTGGTCAATAAATAGCAGGTAAAAAGTAAAAAACCAAAAGAACAGAAACTACTTTTTTTCTTGTTTTCCGGCACTTTGCCTTTCACTGCGTCCCGTTGTTCGTCGCGGTTGACGGTCGACGAGTCAGTGGCGCTAGCACGAGCACGAGCACAGATTTATGTATCACTACCCCACTCCTGCAAGTATATACGCGCTTCAGTCGCGCTATCAAATTGAATCCGAGCTACGCGCTCGCCGGAGCCTTGTAATTATTAGATATTTGCTATTACACTATCAAACAACGGGGGACTAGCTTTGTATTTTCATCGACAATGGGCGTGGTTACGAAATTCCTTTTAATTTTTAGTGCAATTCGATCAACCTAAATAAAATTTTGTTTTTATCGCAAATTAAACTTTTATAGTAAAATTTATTTCGTCTTTCAACATTGTTGTGTACTTTTGTTTTTTTTTAATTGTTTAATGTTCTGTCCTATTGCAACAAACATATTATGTTAGGCTAATAAAAATTATATACAGTCTAGTTACATAATACCACGAAATTAGGTGATGATTAATTTTTTTTTAAAGGCACATAGGTAACTTCAAAAAACTACTATTATCCATTTGAAATTTTTTCTATCAGATCACGCTGTTGGCGCATTTAAACGTGTTTAAATGAATTTTTCTACAATTACTATTACAATAACGATATGTAAAACCATTCTATGTCATTTGTATTTTCTCCTTTTATTCTCAATGATAATGAAAAAGAAAAATGACTGCATTTGATGTAACATTTGAACTTATTACTTCATTCGATTTTATTTATCTTAATCTTTCCAGAAGTTTGTTTTTAGTCTGATCTTGTGGTTTACGGAAGTCGCATGTTCTATTATTACTAAATTATTATATTGGACAACTTTGTATAAGTAATACTAAAAAAGAAATCGGCTTTTTTATCAGTCCTTTCAGAATGTTGAAAACGTTAATATAACGTTGATAGAAGTGCTATGTAAATGATATACCATAAGATAGTTCTAATTAATTTTTCATCCATTTTATGTGATTTTGAATATAAAATGTAATATGTCAAAGCGCTGATTTTCTTCATCCTAAAATAACTTTTTTTATTAAAGAATCCAAAAAAATAAATAAAATTTACAATGCAAGGTGTATAAAAAAATTGTACGTGACATCGACTCTCTTCCTGCGTGCTTGTTCGCAACAAGTATCGCTACTTTTATCTTATTGGCTTAGTCAAAATCTCCAATGCACTTTCTACTTTTAACGATCATCTTCCTCTTCCCTTTCAATTTTTAATTGTGCTTCTGACTACCATTGTTAAGGTAAAGACTTTTTAATAGCAGTATAACATTTCAGTTTAGTACTGACACGTAAAAAATTCAAATGAGTTTATAAATTTATACAAACATACCATTCATAACAGATCACGTAAGAACTAATTATGATAATAAACGCGTTGAATAGAAATAACTATCAAATTAAAATTTGAAAAATACTTAATCGCCAATAAATTACAATGTCGTGATAATGCATTTAATTGATCTACTAGAAGAAATAAACCTTAAATTAAACTTTTAAAGTAGTTTTTTTATACATGAACCTTTCTTCATTTAATAACTAAGCATTTTACCAACAATTTAGAAGGAATAATACACTTGAAAGAGCAGCTTTTCATTTCCTACCAAGGCAGATAAGTTGAGCAGATTCTTTTTCATTTTATTCTAGCGAATTTGATCTCAAGTGCATTTGCTCCTCACTTTTGCCCTCTTATCTCCTTTCACTCTTTTTATGACTTTCATTCACTTTTCCACAATTCCTTTTTATACTTCCCTAATCCGATATGATTCGGCTTATTTTCTCTTCATACTTTTCCCAGCCCGTAATAAATTTCCACTCGAGATAATATGTAAAGTTTGATTGATTATTTTCTAAAACTACATGCTCATGTCAAATAAATGATAAAAAAAAATATTATACTTATCATTAAAAGAAAAAATTACTTCAAAACAATCAAAAAAAATTCTGACGATCTTTTATAGCAAAATTTATCATTATTCAAATCATTCAACAAGCCAAAACAAAAAAGACGTTCACAGAGGAAATCTGAAGCAATCAAATTTCAATAATATATTTTACTTTTATGAGAAAAAAAGTTTTTTTGTCCATTGTTAATGATTGTTAGTGTTTCACTAGAATAAGCATTTTTTTTTCTCCTCGTTCCATCCATTCATGTTGTCATAGCTACGAAGTTGTACAAGGAGGGAAAGGGGGCGAAGAGCGAAAAAGGAGAAAAGTAATCTGTACGTTCTTTCGAGTGTAGTTTCTCAAGTCTTAGCTCTTTCCTTTTTTCTCTCTCACTGACCCACTTACAAAGCTACAGAACATTTAAAGCTCACTTTGATTTGCACCAAGAAACGATGTGCTTATCATTGATCAGAACCTCCAACACAGACACACACACACACACACAAGCAGAGACACATACACATACACACATACAGTCGTCCAGATAATTTCCTGACGTGATTCACGGCTCGCTACCCTCTTTGTGTTCAAGCTCAACTGCTCTTAAGGATTCTGCTGTCGCGAACAACCTGTATAATACCTACCTTTAAGTGAACTCTTCTAACTAATTTCTATATATGCTAATTTCTTACGGAGATTCGCAAGAAAGTTATAGAAGATGCTTACTAGATAATATTGCTTGAAAACATTCTACTATTTTTTCACAAAAACATTCGACCATAGGGAGCGTTTCGTGAGTGAAAATGTAATATACATTTAGGGATTAGAGGCAAAGTAGGAAAATTTATCAACTTAAAATCGAGTGTGAGTAGTAGGGGTAGAACAAACAGAAGGCAAATACATTATTCCACATATTATTCTTGACTGCTCCGAGTGAGAAGGTAAGGCGGGGGATGCTATCTGTAAATGCGATGCATTATGCATAGAAGCGCGATAGCAAGTGAGAGCGTGTCTCGCACTGGCCAAGAGGGTGTAACACCTTAACGGATGACTGCCCTATCGTTCTCATTATTCTTTCTTTCGCCACAAGTGCCAGATTTATACGGAGCTGCTGTTTTTATATCATTCGAACGGCCATAAGACTTCTCTTTTCCCTCATCCTGAGATTGTATTTTTCACTTTCATTTGTATCACTGCTCAGTCGCAAAAAAATTTTGCAGTTTTTGCTTTCGTACATTCGATGCATTGTCTCGTGATATCAACAAAGAAAAATCTATCGAAATATTATGTTCCTTGTAGAGTTAGGCATGTTAAATGTTTCCATACGACGCATTTATTTCCCCCAAAGATGTACTTCGAAGTAAAATGAAGCATCGAAAGTGTTTTAAGAAAGGCTTTAAGCGTCGCGAAAGAAATCAATCAATTAATAAAAACCGGACTTGTGGGAAGAGAAAACAAGGAAAATCCATTAACCCCTTGCTAATAAGGCTTGAGGAGAAACAATTGATTACCCGCTAGCAGCTATGAAACGATGGTTTCAAAGCAAACTACCCGTGATAAACTTTCCTTCAATTTCCAACCCATCTAACGACTGAAAATCATACAAAAAAAGCACGCGCAAGTTATCTAACGTTGTTGATTATATTGAGTAAATCCGAAATCGCACGTGTCTCGGCAAAAAATGCGTAACTTCAGTATAACCTGTTCGCTGTGACGGGAGAAAACTTTTAGGTTGGTTGACGCGTTGTTCAAAATTGACAGTTTCAAAAAACATCAACGTTTTTGTTTACCCGTAAACGAAGATTGAGAAGACAAATATAAATTGCGAGCAAGGAGGGTTTTATAAAAAGGAAACATGTCCAGCCGCGTAGCTCTCAAGTGAAATTCGTAGTGTCGGAGAATGGATTCAGTGCGCGACTACTGGGAGTGCATCAATTTTCACTGGCTAGTCATCGTCTTCACGGGGCTGTATATGCACCTGCGAGAAGTCTGCTTGATCGGATTATGCTTCAATGTCGCCACTGAGCCGCCATTCGATCCCTCATATGCATCTTTGATTTTTATTTTCTCGACACTTTGCCTCGTTGCCGAATATAAACTATGGCCCAAATCACTGAAAGAACCACCTATTCAGTTAATGTTTATTTACGAAGTGCGTTTTAGGTTAATTGCTTTTACATTTAATTTCTTCTACAATATTTTTATAGATCTTGTTTCTTTGTTGTCGTTGCTTGCAGATGTTAGTGACTGCGCTTATCACAGATTTAGCCATGCGTATGATTTGGATACCTTTGATGCACATTACGTGGTGTGTCACACAAGAGTCGAGTAAAGCGGTAATTGCTTGTTCCTAACTTATCAGAGTTGCTCTCAAAGGACGAAACTTGGAATATTATACGAATTTCACCGTTACATGGATAATAATTAAGTTTAATGTGTTTTATTATGAAATTTGAATAGTTAATATGGATCAATTCGCAAATGGAGTTAGGAAAATACTCACATTTGATAACCGTGGCATCTTACATGGAATCACAAATGGCAGCAACGCATGCAGCTTTCTGCATCTCTGTGCTTAGTTTTTTGTGGATGCTGGATGCTACCGAAACATTGGACACGCTTCTAATCGACCTCTGGTCCAAGTATTAAGTAAAAAAGAATTATTTTTCAATCTTCTACTGATATTTCTTTTAATATCGTTCCAAATAATAATATTATCTTCTTACAGAGACCATGTGAACTACTTGATTTTCATGCGTCTAAATAAAAGGATAACTTTTGCAGAACCCGAGGTCACAGATCGATTCTTTTACAATAAAACGTCAAAAATTACATGAAAAGTATGATAATGTGTGTAGAAAACTTTTCAAACTCTGCGCCCAAATCAAAAATGTTTTTGTAATTACACGATGAGTTGGATTACTTTTGTGTTGTACAATGTTGTTTTCCTTCTGGTAAATTGATTTGTGAAAATGGAATAAAACTTTTTATATTGAAACAATGTTATAGATTTTCAATTTAGAACATATTTTTCTTTTTTAAATTATTTTCACAAAGATTTACTCGGATAAGTAATTTTTCAAGAAATTTATTCACGTATAATTTAGAACATAGTCGAGCCCATTGTTGCGCTAATATGCGACATGAAACTTCATTTAGTTCAAGACGAAGGAAAATAATTAAGGTAGATCGCAGGATCGTGAGCACTTCGAAATTCTAGTCAAGCATCGAAAGCCGCAGCATGACAAAGTTAGTGTACACCATTTGGGCTCCGCTATTGAATATTATGGGTATATCCGTATTCAAAACTTGCTTTGTTGATGCAATGGAAGATGATTACGGTGATAATCTACTATCTGGACCCCCTATAACCTCACACATTTTTGCCCTTGGTGTGTACACAATAACATCTAACCTTGAGCTATATCCTACTTCATTTCGAAAGCCGATACCAATACTAATGGGTCTTTACGAAGTAAGGCGATTGATTAAATTATTTCAATTTATATGCTTATCCATCTGATTTCGACCTTTCAGTTTCTAGCCACAGCATTTTTGATTGAATTTTCTGTAGCATGCATATGGACTCCTATAGATGTTCATATTTATACAACGTTGACTCAAGCTATGCTGAAGGTAAATTTTCTAACTATGTTAGCACACTATTACTGTGATCTTATGAACGCTTTGCAATTCGAAACATATCGTTTAATTTTTGTATTTCGATCAACTATAGGCGCTCTTAAGTTTTGAATTTAACGATGCAGCTGAATGGTTGCTACGAAACAAATTTCCAATGGTAATCGCGTGCTCCGCAGTATCCGTAGGATTTTTCTTCACCACCTTGCATGTTACGAGATCGATCGATTTATCGATATACACGTAAGAAATAATCTATCACATTTATTCAATATTTTTAAATTACTCCAAATTATTTAAGAAAACAACTTGTCTGCCGCAGTGATTATGGTTCGGCTTTCTTTGCTTATCACATCAAAAGTAGAATGATTCAGAAAATAGTCAAAGAATTGCCTCAACTGGACGATCTTTCTTGTGGAGCTTGCCATACTCGAAAAAGATCACGAGGCCGTAAACGCAGTCGAAAAACTGCAGTGGATTATTACTAGTAGGTCTAAAATTTTATTTGAAAGATGTGTCTATGATTGTTTCACGTGGTTTTTGGCATACACAGCTAAGTATCTTGACCTTGACGTTAATTAATTGTAAAATATCACAGGTACTTATCCTGAATGCAATTCTTCGTACAAAACCTTATATTTCGAAAACAAAATAAAATCACTAATGGTATTATTAAAAAGAAGGCATTTTTATTTTATTTCGAACTGAAAATGATAAAGTACAAATGGTATTGATAATATAGTGATAATCATGAACCGTAATCAATCGTATAATGATATTAATTAATTAATTAATAATACGTGTATCGATTATATTGTACGTATAGCCTATTATACGATAATTGTACTAACGAGATGTGTTCAGTGGCAGCGCACATATACATATGTAATTTATTTATATATAATTTATATTTTTTTCTCATCTATATATCTGTATATTACATTATCCGTGTAACGGCTACAATAAAACATTGGGGGTCTGATAAGACCTACCATCTACGCGGTAATATTACCATCGACACTGGGCATCCCGTAAACCTTAGCTCCATTATTTATCATTATTTATTAGCATTCCTTATTACTTGTATATTTCAACTTGTTTTTGCACATAATAAAGTAGAAACTTTTCCTTTGTTTCGGCAGTGTGGAATAGTTGACAGCGTAAAAAATTTATTGGATATGTGTGTGTGTGTGTGTTTTTTTTCGACCATAGGAATCAAAAAACTTACTAATCGCTATCAGTAGTTTCACTTAAATAGTATATCATTCGTACATAGAAAGTACATATAAATTCATACAAAGAGTGAGTACACCTTGATAGACCTTATATAAAAATCCATAGGCGACTAAAGAATTTTGTCGAGTTTGATAATTTTCAAAGGAGTGAATTTGCAACTATCGATACAAGTGCAGCAGCCTTGACGAAACAAAGAATGTTTATTATTGGCGCATCATATCAATTCGTTGTCCGTCGAAAGATTCTTCACTTCTACCGATTGGTATAATCGATTAACATTGAGACTTATAGAAACGTACAAACATCAACATAGAAACCTTAAGTATTATAGAAAGTCTTAGCATTTCGTTAATTCGATTGTTCTGCTTTTGTACGGATCGTTTGTTTGTTTTCTTTGAAAAGATGAAAGTTAAATAAGAAGTCGGAATGCCGAGAGCCGAGAGTAGTACAATGAGGAGGATGTGAGGTGCTAATGATTCGTTTAATGTACATACACAACGGTGAATCTTAACTAGAATATTTTTTGTTAATCTCTCATGCCACTGCACACACGCACGACGCAATCCAATTTTAAAGATAAATCTCTATGCCCCTAATGCCAGTCTGTGGAATACTGTCTCGCTGCTTAATTTCTACTTTTTGCAAGAGGTGGGGAGAAAGATACGAGATTCTTATTTTTCTTCGTCGTTTTTTCGTTACAGTCTACTCAAAATTGCTTTCGAACTCAGCGGAAATGCCCAATCACCCGCGGAATGGGACGGCAGTAATAAATTTAAAAACGCACGCAACCAGTGCAATTATCAATCAAATTAATTTCAATAAAAAATCATTCATCGAATATAATACAAAGTAATATATAAATAGAAATAAAATAAAGTCTCTTTCTCAAAGTTGGACTTATCGCTTAAAACGTAAGACTAGGTTCAGTTAGATTCGTGAATATATAGATGGTACTTGGAACTAAAATTACGCGTATTATTATGTATATTCATCGAAAATTAATATCACAAATCGCAAGTAAACGATAATAGAGTAGTACGAAAAACCGGTAGGACAATTATACAATTATATCGTAACGCGCATCATCGTAACCAAAGTCCCGCGACTTAACCGTTAAGCGCAATCACGCACTCTCGCTATCTTTTTTCTTTCTTTATTAGTGTTATGTATCCTATCATGCGAGACTCGTCTCTCCACTCTCTTTTATTCCGTTTTTTTTTTGCTTCTTTTTCACACCTTTAATTAATTACATATTCCCCCGTACATTAATTATATTTATATATTTATATATTTATATTTATACGTGATTTATTTATTTCTGTATTTTTTTTTATTATTTTTTCTTCTTAAGGATAAGTCGTCGCGCGGACACCTAACAGGTAAATTGACTATCTTGTTTAATATTCCCGTTGAGAATTTTACAAATCATCAGTCGTTTCGAGTGGAAAAATGCAGTTCATGTATATTACGCACCAACGATGCAATTATAGGCTATTATTAGTTAAGGTACACGTCATTTGGCCTTTCACAGCAAAAGACTCGACTCCCTTTCTCGCGATTTTGTAAAATAAAAATCATCACGAGTGCCAAGTCTTTCGCTATATAACATGGCTTAATAAGAGTCTGACGGCGGCTCAAACGCACTCATAAAAATATTTTCCAGCCGCAAAACGGATTGTTCATCGATTTATCGCATAGATTATATACTTTCTTTTATTACAGTTTTGCTTTTTTAGACTTTAGAAATATGACACTCGCAAACTGATATTGCAGATGGTTCAAAGAATAATATAATCTAAATGACAAATCAAAGAAACATCTGTCGCGACGAGATACTATTTTTATTTAGTGAATGACCAAATGAACGATTGGAAAAGAGTGACCGAGTCGTTGGACGATAAGTGAATAAATCCTGTCATGGCAAACGAATGTTCGTGATAAAACGCAGCACAAATTTAACTTATGTAAATTTAAATAATAACAATAAACCGAACTATACAACGATGATTCAAGTGATGCATGAGAGGAAGGATTGTTATTGTAATCTACTCTGGTCTTGTAAACTAAATGGGATTCTCAGCGGTCTAATGTGACGCAACATTGCGACATTTGTTAGCCCTACGTAGTAAAGCGCGCCTTTTATTTTTTTTTAATTTGACCTGACTTTCGAGGATGATCGTTTTGTTTCCTTACACAGCTACAACGAGACGTCCATAACAATATATCATAATGATGCATTCAACACACAGCTGACTTTCGTACTTCGCGTCAGTTTCGCCATATATTTTGTGTATTGTACATAGTTAAATCGCGCACGCACACATACACAGCGAAATCTTTACGCATAATTCGTTACTGTTCATAATGCTTTCATATTGAGTGTTTCGTCGGTTCTTTCGTCGCGTGTATTTCGTAGATGAATGCTTGTTAACGTGTGAGATGATTGTTGTGTGTATGTGTAATTAAGTGTTCTTGTCTCTGTAAGGTAATTTTTTTTTTCGTGAAAGATGGATTGCTGTGCTCGCAATCGCCGCGTTTCGAAAGCGAATACTAATTTCATAATACATCTATCTCCCTTGTGTATAATTATACAATTTAAATGGATAAATGAGTTCAACAAGCTTACTTTTAGTTTAATGTCAAATGTTTAAATACGTATACTATCGGTGATGAAGATACCGGCTCGTTTTTTTTTTCTCCTTCGAATGTCAATAATTCATTGAAAAAACGAATGTGAAATAGAAAAATTCCATTGTTATTACGTTCGCATGCGAGGGACGACTACGAATAATATCGCAACGTACTATAATACAATTAGTTGTATGAGGGTATCCTTTCATCAAAGCTTCATTAATTATTAAGGATAATGAGTTGTTAGTGTTTTTTCTTTGCTTCTTCTTCGTTATCTTCGTTATCTATCTCTTTCGTTATCTTTTTATTGCAAAATTCATGACGCGCGACCTTACGCTCGTTAATGATCACCGAGGTGAACTCGAAACGATTGTGTTACAACGACTTTACCTTCTAGGCTACTTTACTTTCGCCTGACAATATAAAACGTGCGCCTTGTGTGTGTTTGTTTTACGTATTACAAGATACACTTACGAAGTTCGTGAGATATTGAGTCATCTCATTTGCTTTTTTTCTCACAAATCTGTCCGACAGATATATTTTGTTATTGGAAATTTGCATTATTTCGCTAAATTATTTATGTCGCGGACAAATTGGACTTTGATAGTCTCATAAATGAGACTACGCACTTATTACATTCATTCAACTTAGATCGCATCGCTCGTTTACTCCTCTTCTTCGCTTTCACGCTCGGCAGGACCATACATGTCGGCTAACTTATCGAATCTGGGACCCCAGTTGCCTAAATACTCGTACTCGTGTTGTTCGTCGTCAGTTCCTGCAATGACGTAATAAATTATTCGGCAATTCATTTAATAAATTCTTTTCATAACAGATATTTCATCGATAAAGATAAGCTTACCGGAAGCTAATGACGAAAGCGAGCCAGCAGTACTCCCGCCTCCTTCGTATGCGTAGTTTCGCAAATCATCGAAAGGTGGTGCATTAGGATCGCTGTCTGCTCGTTTCTTGTGATCTTCGATAAATATTCCTACGTTCGGTTCTGGTCCTGTTGGATCTTCATTGCAAAAAAAGTATATATATCTCTTGCCAAAATCAATAAAAAATATCTCTGTGTAAAGAAATAAAATATTTACAGGCCACTTTCATCGGGGGTAATTTGCCTCCCATTTCAGGAATCGGTCCTCCGATAGGAATTTGAAGGGGTGTGATGTCGAAAGCTGTCATGTCATCTTCGCCACCTCCCTCATCGTCGTAATTGATTATATTTTCTCGGACATCGTCATCGGGTCCAGGATACTTTATGTGAGACTCTCGCCTTCTATTGTACACCACGAAGACTAGCACTAAGACTAAAAGAGAAACATTATTATTAACAATTTCACGTATAACAATGCGAATGCAAGAATGACCGAGACTTACTAAGAATAACAAGAAGACAGACTAAAATAGCAGCGAGAGCACCCATGCTAAGTTTAAGTGTTTGGCCTTCCTGTACTAATTCGCAGTTCTCTCCCCAGAAGCCATCTGGGCAAATACATCTGTATCGGAAACGAGGATCTTGATTGATACATCGGCCTCCGTTCAGACAAGGATAGTCTATGCATTCGTTTTTATCCATGCATCCTTTGCCATCGGGTGAAGGTACTCGACCCTCTCCGCATCTGAATGAATAATTTTATGTGTTATATTTACTTCAGACATGGTAATTGTTTTAAATTCCACGTTGTCATACTTACGTGCAGACATAATCATTCCAGAGATCAATACATTCAAATGGATCAGGACAGATTATGTTGGCGCAGGGTTTGTTGGATGGACAGTTTCTCTCGAGATTTCGAGCCATAGTAGCTTGTCCCCACTGTGTACCGTTCATAGCAGGTGGAAGAGGAAGATGTTTACCCTCGAGACGGATATCATCTAAACAACCTAATGTAAAGGAAAATCATTCATTAGAACAATCAATGACAATTTTCAGGTCGGTAAATTGGTTGCTGCTTACTCTTTTGATAATCGGCGTAAACTTCAAATGTTCGAACTCCTGTATATTCAGCCTTGCCACCAGCATAAACACCTTCTTGTTTGTCAACCAACAACCACTGGTGTCCTTCAAAGGAGAAGGTTTCATTAAATCTTCGTCCTTCGCCACCATCAAGTTCGAGTGTAGCCGCAGAGCCGTATCGTGAAACTCGGACCGTATGCCACTGTCCATCGTCGACGGTAATTGCTGTTAACCAAATATCGCGTTCCTCCGTTCTCAAGCTATTGAGGTTAAATCTAAAGCGAAGTCGACTGTTGTTGATCTCGAGAATAGCGTATTCACGATTGTGCTGATCACTGACGCGAAACAGCTCGCCAAAAACTTCTCTTGTACGGAAACGCAGCTGTATCTGAGTGGAATATTTGTCAGGCTCGAAAGACAAAGCATACTTGACGTAACTTTGCTGTTTGAAGGTTGTGGGTATCGTCGATGTCATGCAACCTGGTCCAGTCCATCCAGGATTACATTGGCATTTCGATTCCGAAAAGCTTCCGACGCATGTGCCGTGCTCCCAGCAGCGGAATGTCGATTCCTGATTGTGGCAGATTTCATCCGTTTGCGGACAACCTGCGACGCTGTTTCTCGATAAACCCGGATGTGCCAAATCGTAGAGCTTGCTATTGTGGAATAGATTTCTGATGCAGCCGTCGAAACCCTTGCCAACTGGCATGTATTTCCATCGGTATTGATCTGGCTCGAATTGTTCTACGTACAGACCTCCGATTTGCAGAGGTGCATTGACGTTGAGGTATTCATTGAATGGTGGTATAGTGCCTTGAGCTTGACAAGATACGTCGTTGAATTCCGGCGGTGACCCGTCATCGTTCTCCGATATTTCAGCAGATTTACAGAAGTCCACAATGAGTTTCACATTCTGTAAAATTTATATGAATTAATCCATTTCAATTTTGTCACGGTACTTAATATTCATTCGCGTATGAGTGATCTTACCTCAGTATTCCAAAATATATCCAATCTATGCCATTCTCCGTCGTCGAGTGTTCTCTTTGTTTTAACTTTCAGTTCCAAAGTTCCAGAACCAAAATCTATTAGAAGCCTTGGTATTCCTCTTTCTAGCTCGACTGATATAAAATCTAAAGAATAAATTCACATATATATTAATTTACTGAATAATTTAGAAATTTTCTATTATTAAATTAAGGAATGGTAAGATAATTTACCGGAAACCATAGTTTCATCAGACTCAGGAGGTACGATTGGACCATTATAGAGAAGTAAACCATCGGACTTTCTTGTGATGAATTCGAAGCTCAAATGGCTGTTATCACACATTTCAAGAGCTGGATACCAAGCCCATCCATTACCACGGAAGCTTCTGGCAGTTTGTTGACATCTTGGCCCGTTATATCCAGCTGGACACTGGCACCTATCAAGTCACAACCATGACAATTAATATCTGAATTACAATAAAATTGAATTCTTAACTATAGGATTAATTTAATTTCTTACGTTAAACCAAACCGCGTCTCCAGACATCTTCCACCATTATGACATGGATTATTTTTGCAAGACTCGCCCTTACTGAAGTTTCGAGCGCCACACGTACATTCAGCAATGACGTCCACTCGTACGCCGACGAGGGCAGTTTTGTTCGCATTGACCATATATGGCAAATTGCTGATATCCAAAGTGTTTGTACAGCTACCTTCACACATTTCGTTCTCGTAGAAGCATTCGTCGATGCCTACCATTGTAATGTTTATACCGACGTCTCTTTCAATCTGAAATTCGATTACGCAAATACTTCTGGTTTCTACAAAATGTGCATGTTTCTTTCAACAAAACTCCGTTTGTCGTTCTTACCTCTTCACGATGCATCAAAACTATTCCATTTAGTCTTACAGGCTTGTAGTATGGTGATCCATGTGCAGCAAACCGTACGTCAGTTAGAGGTGGATATTTTCTTCTTAATTGAACGCTAAATACATCAACGTTGTCTCTTTCAATATTAAGTAGCACTGCTAACTTATCTCTGAATAAGTCAGCTTTACTTCTGGAGACACTTTGCGTCTGAAAGAAAACATGTTGATTTAGTTAATTTCGATTGGAGTTTTTACACATACATTTCTTATTATTAGAATATCTGTATACCCTATAATTCCACACTCTGATAAAATCTTCATCGCTTATGCCGGAAATACGAACTGAACCGGAATTCCAAACTGCTTCATGTGGAATAGTCTTAACGGTGACAGTGACATTTGCCGGTACATCTGTTTGCGTGTGTGCTCTGTCATAAACCTTAAATTTCAATTGATATTTGCCATCGTGGGTACCCGGTTTTATAGAAATCATTCCCGTATCTTCATTTAATTTGAACTGATCGTGTTCCGGACCGTCCCAGTAGAATTTCTTATCGGGTAAATCCCAGTCATCCAAGTCGTATACATATACTCGACCAATTTCCGTCTCCGGTGACTGACCCATATAGTTGTAAACGAATATGTCTTTTGAACCAGGTTGCATCTTATTGTCATTGACATCTCCTATGATCACCGTCAATGTACTTGTACCAGACATCAATGGATGACCAGCATCACGTATGACAATTGGAATCAAATATTCTTTCTGTTGTTCTCTGTCGAACGTACGAAGCGATGACACAACAGCCATACCGTCACCGTTTGCACCCTCTGTAGAAAAAAATCAATTGAATTATGCAATTGGTATGCTATAAGATGAATGATTAATTTTGTAAAAAAACTGCTACTACTCACTATTATCGCTTTCAACTTTAAAACTAGCTTTGATAATGTCATCAGCATTTGGATCCATCCTGAATGTAAATGGAGGTCCATTGCTCTTGGAACGATCGTCATCGTCGGTGGCCAATATTTCAACGACCTTTCTGACTGGCAAAAATTCGGGTAGTACCGGTCTGTAGTCTTTCAAGAAAGTCGGTGCATTGTCATTAATATCCTGAACTATAACCGTAAGAGTAGCTGTTGCAGTTTTTGGCGGAATGCCATCGTCAATGGCCAAAATTTTCACTTGATGCCTTGGTGTCTCTTCGCGGTCTAGACTTCTCTGAATAGATACCGTGCCGTTCTCAAAGATATAAAATTGTCGTTTTCTGTCGGAGCTTCGATCAATCGAGTACGATACTTTGCTCTTTCCACCCTGATCCGGATCTGTGGCTTTGAATGTCTCTAATGTATTGCCAATTGGAGCGTTCTCAAATACTGTCGCCTCAATGTTGGCACGCTCGAATTGCGGCTTATTGTCATTGATATCGCGTAATTTGACGACCACCCAAGAGTAAGCAACATGATATTTGTCATTATCGTTGTCTTCGCCTTTGTCATTAACTTGAATTCGGAATCTGAAACCATTACTCTGCAATGCGTCTTCGTAATCCAATTGTTGAACTATTTTGAGGGATCCCGTTCCGTCGTTGTTGCGAACCATCGTGAATTTGTCAGCTCCGTAGCCACTATTTTCAATGACCTAAATCAAAGAACAAGAATAGTATTAATCTCTGGTTAATCTTACGATCAAGCAGATTTATGAGAAGGAGAGCATTTTATACTTTATATTGAAATTTGTTGGTTTCATCTTCGTCGTGAACAGTCACAGTGAGGATAGGCATATCTGGAAGATCTGGTCCATCGGTTTCATCGACTTCAGTCAGCCATTCTTCCTTGGTAAACTGGGGCGGCATATCATTTATGTCTTTTACTCGTATCGATGCCGTCCCGGTTCCTTTATAAAAACGAACAAAAAAAAATGGAACAGATGAAGCATTTCCTTAAGAAATATTACATTTGATCAAACAAAAAAAAGAAGGAATACGCCAGTACCTTTCAACCCGCCTCCATCCATTGCGACGACTTGTATAGAATAGTCCGGTGTACGTTCTCGATCGAGGCAGCAAACAGCGGTCTTGATAACTCCAGTCTCAGATTCGATTTCGAAAATTGGAGAGCCGGTCTCCTCCTCAATTACGTTCTTTTCTATAGAATAAATGAGCTTGGCGTTCGCTCCCTCGTGCGGGTCATCGTAATCTACCGCTGTCATTGTCATCACGACCATACCTATTGTTTGTCACAAAGAGAAAGAGAAAACAATTGTTACGATTCGAACTTTGCACCAGAGTTACTTTCTCGTGAGGGGGGCTAAAAATTTATTTCACAACGACGGGTGAGTTATCAATCGTATATGTCAATATTTCCTACCAGCAGTGCCATTCTCAGTGACATTTCCGTAGTAAACACCCGCCGGGAAGACCGGAGCGTTGTCATTGATGTCCTTCAAATTGACTTGCACATCCGCATAGCCGACAAGTCCTTCTCCGCCCTCGTCTTGTGCAAATACTGTGAATCGCCATTGTGGTCGGCCATTTGGTTGATCGCGGTCCAACGGCTGGAAGATACAGATAACGCCATTATCTTTACTTAGTTTGATCAATAATCCACCTCAATAGACTCAGGTACAAGATAATGATTTGAGAACTTTTGAAGATGTTAGCCAAAATAACTGTTATTACGTACAAGTGCTTTTACCAGACTGTGTATTTTTGTTTTGTAACTATTAGGATTTCGAACCTGATACTTGTTCATGTATAAATTGAAAAAGATTCAATGCGATAAAACAACATCGATATGAAAAGATAAAAATATCAAAATTTACACTTACAAAGGTAAATAATAATTACTATGTAAACTCGAACCCAAAAAAAAATTCATGACTACATTTAAATTTTTATTTGATTAGCACAACCAACAGAGCTGTTAACTACGTACAAAAGTAAAATATATTTACCTTGAGCACATAAATCTCACCGGAAGTCCTATTGATATCGAACTTGCTATTGGCCGGGTTGTCCGGATCAATGCCTTGGCCGGTCAAGAAGTAAACGATGCTCTGTGGTCTATCCTTGTCTCCATCAGTCGCAGTGACCTACATATAGCATATAGGTGAGTTAATATACGTGCTTGGAAAGACAAATACGCGACGTCCGCGATATTTGCTATCGGATGCGCACAGCGAACGATCGCCGCACATACGTGCATTCGTCGAAGCTCGATAACTCACCTGCAACACGCGCTTCGGTAGATTCCTGTCGTCCTCCTCGGTAATCTGCGTTCTGTAAGTGGGGCGCTCGAAGACTGGTGGATTGTCATTCACGTCCTTTACGTGAATCACTACCACTGTGTAGTTCTCCCGCAGATTGTCCGACGCTGTCAACCTGAGCTCGTACTGCCGGCATTTACCCAAGTTTCAAGTTATTAATGGCTCGATTTCATATTAACGAGCGCTTCAGAAGCTTTGACATGCCATTTATGGACTTGAATAGTTAATGCGATTGAGCTACCAGCGAGATTTATCCGTATCGCATAGAATACATTTCCAGATTAATGCTGTACATAGAGTTTATTCACGAAGCATGAGTGTTAAATTATCTCGTCACTAATGCATTGTTTGAGAGCCGATTAATAGGTTCGATGATGCTCAAGCACTTCCATTCATAGACAAATTATATATTGAAATTAAAACTTACCCTCTTTCTCGTTTCGTAATCCAAAGCTCCCGCAACGTAAATGGCTCCTGTCATATTTTTTACGGCGAAAGCTCCGCCTATGTTACCGCTCGTGATCTCGTATCGAATACGCGAGGCTATAAATTTTGATTTTTTTTTTCATTTCCGAACGTAAAAAAGATAGAATGATACATACAGCGAATAGAAATCGAATTTTAGAGACTCACACTCATCGTGATCTTTGGCGGTGACAGTAAGAACAGTGTGCTGAATATCCTCATTTTCATCTACCTCAGCCTCGTAGAGACCCTTGTCGAAATATGGTGGATTGTCGTTTTTATCGGCGATTCCAATACGAATGAACTTTGTTACTGTAACAAAAAAAATCATAATAAACAATTAATAATTGTTTAGGTAATTACTTCAGGCTATCATTCCTTTGACAATTTCTTCATTTATTCACTACTTTCACTGCTGCTAAACAAGATTAAACGCGTCTTAAGGTTTTCTGGGAATTATTTATTTAAAGTTTGGTTTAAGAAACGTTGCGTATGTCAAGCACGGGAGAAATAAAAGTGGTAAGATTTCTTATAGACCCTTAGCATATAGTCTTTACAACCTGGAAAACTGAGAATCTACTTCAAAGTATAAGTAATTATGATTACGATAGCATTTAATTTTAGAAGTTAAGAGAAAAAATCCGACTAAAATCATAAGTAATCCCTTGAAGTTGATGAAAATCAGATAAGTATATTTTGTTTCACGTGAGAAAAATCGAATGTAATATGATATGGAAGTCGGTTTACAGAGATAGTTTTTTAAAATTTTGGATTTATTTTTTAGCAAGTATATGAATTTTTATTTAAGTGGTACGTAAAATTGACAGTATAAATGCCACTGTAATATTGAATATTTCATGCTAAAAACCATTTGGTTCTTTAAAAAAATAATAAAAAAAAATTTATGATTCGCTATAAAATATTTTATATTTATTCTTTCAACTATCAATTGAAAGCTTCGGAGAGTATGTTTAAAAGAAGAAACAAATTTACTGGAGAAGCATCCACTAACAGTAAAATCAACACCGCTATAAATCTTCATAAAAATACCGTTCCGAATTCGCACTCCCAAAAAAAATAGAGTGAAACCAAAGTTGATTGAAGCGAAGTGTTTTTATAAAAATACGATCGTAAATCGGATTCGCAAAAAAATTAAAATGTTCATCGAAACGCGTACATATATGTTTGTAACTTTTCCATAGGATTAATCAGGCAAGATAAATGCAATCCATAAGCATTTTATACGATAACTGAGAAACAACATTGTAACCATTTGCCTCGTATGGAAATGCGATGGAGCAATTCGAATAAAAATGTCGCGGACAGAAACGTCGTCGTCGTAGTCACATAGAGGTAGCATTGTTTCGTGGCGGGCGTTAGGTAGGAATGCATCGATAAGACGCCACCAGTAGGATCGTTCAAGGGTCACGGAAGAGAGAAAGAGAGAAGAAAAACGAGAACCAAGTTTTAATACTGCGCGAAGGAGAAATCGATCAAGCTCTTGTTATCACTGGGCGCTGGAGCGCGTTTTTTCTCTCACTCTATTCCGTTCAATATTTCGTTTTGACTTTGATCGATCAGGAGGTACAAAGCATCTCTGTATGAAAAAAAATAACCCAATGACAAGAATCAAGTGGATTGTCAATTCAGTTTTTTCGAAGCTATCCTTTACGAGCTTTATCTTATTTTTACTTCGTTCCGAGAAAAAATAATAAAAGCGAATCCGTCAATTGGACAATAATGTCAATGGATCAATTGCTGTTCGGATAAGATAGATTGAAATTAATGCAAATTGAAATAGAGTAAAGTCATACTTGCAAATAGCGATATTTATCATCTTTTTATTTTTCTATGTCAACCGAACAAACAAGCTCGTTTCTCAATGTTGAAATCGCTCTGTACTACTAATCATACTCGACAGCCACTATACCTAGCTTCACAATTTGAAACCTTCTAGAATTCTTTTTATTATCATCAAGTAGATAATAAAAGTCTAGCGACTGAAATTGAAAACTCTGGTAATAAAAAAATGGCTTGCAATTCAGATTCGCGTCTCGTTGGTAACAAAGAGTACATTCATTTCTTTCGAACGCTGCTTTGTCATACTTCAAACAAAAAAATTCGAATCATCGGTGAACCGTAATAAAATATTTATGAAAGCGATAAAACGTTTAACGAATATGCTTTACCGTTCCGCGAAATACTTTTGCTCGTATATAACGCAAGCACATCGTGAAAGCTCTACCTTTGCGTTATTGAATCGGTGGGTTTTACGCAATATTTCCTGTTCACTTTATCATATTACACAACTGAGCTTTTTCTCCCTTTTTCGTTCGTTTAATCGTCCCAATGTTTCACACTGTGACTTTTCGAAAATTCAGCCGCGCATCGCGAAAAATAGAAAATAAATTTATCTAGGGATGAAAAGCTTTTCAATTGTTACTGACAATCAGCGCACGCTCGTAGAATCGATTCTATTGAGAGCTCAGCGCGTTTGACGTGCAGCAATTTGCGGGTATTCTCCGCACAGTTTTTCGCTCTGCATACGTTTTGATTCAACTAATTTTTTCATTTTTCTCCATATACCTGCGGAGTTTCCACACTATGAAACTTTTATTATCCAATTGTGCAGAGAGCTGTTTCTTTGGTCTCCATTCTCTCGACGAGTTTTCCTCATCAGGGAGAGTTCTATTGCCGGTATATTATTCCGTTAACTCGTTGTCCCGGAGGCCAGAACAGTTTCAGCGCGCGTAATACAATTCGCTGAAATACGTGCAAGCTCTCTCTCTCTCTCTCTCGCTCTCTTTCAAGTTCGTTCGTCGAAAAGGAGGCCGTTCGACTCGAAAAAGCTGCGGATTTTCTTTCTCTTCTTTGTAGAATCCCGACGCCGCTAGTGGCGCACGGCAGCGTTCGGCTCTAGCCTCATTTCTCGGCTCTTTCGCCGAGCAATCGCCAATTTTTTTATACGGCGCGCGCTAACCCTCAATTCGATTCGAGTTCGATTTCTTTGCTGCCACTCGTTTCATCTTCCAATCGCTTCGTCTTTTTATTCCACCACACGTCCCACAACGCACTCGGCAATTCGACTTTGATTCTACATGTCAATCGATTGGCTATTAGTCTTTTTGAATTGTGCAGAAATAAGCTGTTCTAAACTCAAGCGTCGGTCTATTTTCTCTTTCTATCAGATATACGTCGTACGTGTAAAATTCATCGAAACCTATTTGTTCAATTGGCTACGATTATTCCGTGTTTGCAAACCATTACACCGTTGCAAATATATAATAATAAGTAAATCCTTGGTGCAGTGGGTGTTTCAATAATTTTCCAATAAATTTAGCGCGCTGTTATTGGTTATGAAGTTAGCTTGAACGTCAGTTACTGAGCCTATTTCCAAAGGCTCACAGAGCAAGCACGAAGCGAGCTTTGTTAAGTTTGCATTTACGATTCCTTTTTTTATTTGATTAAGCATTGTAGCTAAAGATCGCGAGAATTTTAGCGACTACAATGCCGCGAGAAAAGAAGGAACCCGAAGGGGAAACGCACACAAGAATTAAAAAATAACGAGGAGAGGGTCCGCAAGAATTTCATTCATTACACCGGGGAGAGTGCTACTGCTGGAGTTTTCGCCTAGTTATATCACAATTAAGCTTTCATGAGCGTCGCTCGCGACGGCGACGGCACCAGTCGGATGTGACAAAGAATATTCGCGAGCGCCTTTTATTCGCGAAAAAAAAGAAAGGGCAGCTGCAAGCTACTGGCGTACCGCGCGAAAGAGAGAAAAATGTAGAGAGGTGATGGTTACGAGGAAAAAGAGAGAGGAGAATCGGGAACGGTCGAGAGCTGCGAAATGCGCAGAACAATTCCTAGGGGCTCTGTCCGCGCGCGCAAACGTTGCCGGCGAAGCCGCATTATTATTCTCTTTAAAGAATTGCCCTGAATGCGACTGGTCCGCGGTGCATATGAAGCGCTCTTAAGATGAACGAAATTAAAAAACGTCCTCCATTGATTCTAAACGCCTTACTGCCGCCGCTGCTGTTTTCGACTGCTTGCCTACAGATTTCACGATTTACGACTGCGACACTAGGCTATATTACTTTTTTGTTTTTCCTTGTTCTCGCGGTGTTGGGTCAAGGGGATCCCGGAATATTTTTCGAATTTTCGCAGCTTTTGTTTCCACCTGATTATTTACGTTCCGATGACTTGAAAAGAAAACAACAAATGGCCGCTGCGCTTTTTATTACAATCGCTCGGTGCCAGTTTTCAGCAAATAAAGCGCATAAAACGGACAATAACCGGACGCACGCGTTCATCTCTCCACTCGTTCGCGTGGCTATTGATCTTGAATTAAAAAATAGGCAAACCATTAGCCAGATGCTACGATTGTTCGCATCTTGCGAACGATACAGTATTTTCCAAGCGTTACTTTTTCCCTCTCACGTTTCACGTCGACAATATTCCGGAAGCTCGTGGATATACTCAAATAATATTCGTCTTAGCGCAGTGTATACTACGAGATCAAAACGCACGTATTTCATTAAACTTTGTTTTCATCCATGAAAAAGTTTTGATGAAAAAATAACCGGATTCTTCGCTCAAACTTTTATAAATTAATAGCCAATAGTCAGCTTTCGTAACAGTTTAAAAATCAAAACTTTTCTCTCGGTCATTTACGTTGAATTCCTTTCCGCAATGCTCAATTTGGAAAAATGAAACTTGCGCGGAGTTGTTGATAGGCGCAGTCTTTATTACTCAAACTATATAAAAAATTCGTTTCGCTGATGAAATTCGTGCAATTTTGTAATTGTTTCTGATTAGTTTCCAACGTCCGATCATATAATCTCTTGCATGTATTATTCCAAAACTATTGCCAATTTGCATTGTAACGATTCTAATTTCGTATGCACATTTATTATGATGAATGCGAGAAGAATAGTAAAAATGGTTTTTGAGCAAATTTTATGTTTCAGCAGTTATTAATATTTGTGAGAATTGATAATAAAAATATTCCGGAAAAGTGGCTTTTTATTTAGCTCGAATGTTAAAATCACACTATCCATCCATGTGTACTAGTGTCGTCAAGTGCGCTTCACATACCTTTCACTTTTGCTAATATTTAGTTTCATGTACTTAAATCAAATTACAATTATTTATAGACGAAATTTACAATTCGAAAATACACCACATCATCAAACAATACTACGCTTTGATATGATAATATCCGTCGATATTAATTGGCAATTAAATATTTAATTAAAATTATATTTGTAGATTTAGTTGTAATTTCAAATATAATAATGTAGCAGAATTTA